GAATGCACCTCTTATTTATTATTTGGAAACTACATTGACTGCAGCTGGCAGAGGCAGAGATTTTTTCTATTGATACACAGAATTTACAGAATCTTTTTAAATGTTAATAGGGGAAGACTGCAGGAGGGAGCGGTAAAATACAGGGGGTCCCCAGCAAAAACAAGATATTTACGAGTCTGATGAAACCCGCTGGTTTTCCATCAAGCAGTCACGGGGCAGCTCCAAGGACCCAGTGGCTGTGCTGGGTCAATGTTATCGAGCTCAATCCAGCTCGGCCGTGAACGAGCCGAGGCGACGTCGTGCTCTGCTTAAGAAGAGGTGTTATTTTCCCGCTTCAGAAGAAGCGTCCAACGTGTTTTTATGCTTTCTCCGAGACATGTCACGTCGCTAAGTTGTTAGCACCACGCGCTAACACGTCAATAGTGCAGCGTAGCCTGCTGGAGGTTTTAAGGGTTCAGATGAAAACACCCGACCTCTCAGGCTGCTCACACATCGATCTTAAGTTGTCGCTGTTGCGCTCACGCCGTAATACAGTATTAGATGCGGTTAAAGTCAGACATGAAAAAATAAATACATTTTACATGAATAAGTGATGCTTAGCCTGGTGGGGGAAGGAGAACCTGGCCTAGTAAGCACTGGAGGAAACCCTGTCAAGATCGTCAACACTCGTTCATCTTAATGCTATTGAAACATGTAAACCACAAAGCATTATATCCACTGCTACCTTTCTAATTTTAAACTCAGTAACTTATGCTGTAACTTCACTTTGCCTTGCCTGCTCCTTGCAGCCTGCCGGCTGTGATCACAAGCGACAACATAGTAGTTCCCGCTGCTTCTTCAGGAAAAAGCGCCAAAAAAAAAAAAAAAAAGAACTTGGGATCTTGTAGGCGTGGCGGTGGGATTTCAGCCGTGGCGGACCGCCACGGCTACGCTTATGTAAGGGAAACCCTGCTTGGTGTGGAGGTTCTCGTTCGATCCGGGGTGTCGTGCTGGTTACTGGTGAACCTCTGATATCAGGAACCCGTAGATAGCTCCGATAGGACCCGTCCAGTCTGAGAACCCTCCAGATGAAGGTAGTAAGCTGGAATACTTATTTGTGTCCAAGGTGGATGTGTGAGAGTTGACGTAGCTCTGAAAAGAGCTGTTTGGATGTATCAGCTTGCAGCGTCGCAGACATGCTTTTGACTAGAGGTCAAAAGAGATGTTTCATAGATGCTCGTTCCCGAATTGGCCGGCTCGAGTATCAGCTAGAAACTGAATTAATCGGGAAATAATTCTTGTTTTAATAAACCACAATGTTATGAGTTTTGGCAAATCTGAATTTGACATGTTTGGAGTCTTACCAACGTCCCTCAGAAAGCCACGCCTTCTTCAGATACAAAGGTGTTTTTAACACTCTGTGAAAGAGAATGTTTAAACTCTCATGTGAGGTGAATATTAACCTTAATGAGTGTCTTATTGTAATGTGTATGAGTGTAAACAATGATAAACTTGTTAAATCAAACACATACTGATCATAAGATCTGAAAGGGATCATTGTAAGAACAATATTCATTTTAAGTCCATTGATTTAAGAACAGGTTATTCAAACATTTGATTTAAACATCTTGTTCATTCATCACATACGATTACTGTATCATATAACTGTACAGTCATGTAGGAGCTTTGAGTAGATAGTGAGGAATGCAGCAGCCAGGCTTTTACGTAGAGAGTGCAGGACCTTGGGTGAGAATGTTTGTCTGGATGTTTTGTCTTCTTGTATGTCAACAAGCACTGAGCAGAACCTTCTGGAATTGGAAGGCCAAATAGAAAGTAGATTTATTTTTGTAGATGAAAGGTTACACTGTGGTCAGTTAGATGGTGAAGAACCAACCCTTTTGGTACGTTACACAGTATATGTATCACACTGGATGAGGATCTGTGGTTGCAAACATTGGGTTTTGCAGTTTCCTTGAGTTGCAGTATGATCTACGTACTTTCCCTTCCAAACTTAAAGGTGGAATATGGAACATTTTAATAAAAAGCTATATATATATTTGTTTTTAATCCCTCCACAGGGCTTGTAGGTGTGTGCAGAATAAATGTACAATTTTTCCTTTAAAAGCTCTATTTACAAGAATAAATGATCTAATTTTAATTTTTTTCGGGCACAACACTGGGTTTATGTTTACATGCACCAGCCACTAGAGGGCGTCTTAGCGCAAAAAAGTCGGCTCAGCAAGGCAGGGCTGGGACTGTGTAAAATGGCAGACTCGACAAGTCTAGCAGCTGATTCTGAGTCCAGAAGATGTTCTAACATTAAATACTGTTTTAAAATAAACGTATTAGAAATTAGTCCTTACCCTGTACGATTTGTCACTGGACATTGTGCTGGCTGGTCATTTAATGTGTCAGCATTGAACCAACACCCTAACTGCTGGAAAATGTTTTCTGTTGTTGCAGCTACAACCTCCATAGGCGAAAATCCTGGGGGGGACAGAGGGGACACGTCCCCCTCTGACATAAATGTGTCCCCCTCCAAAACTCCATAAAACGCAAAATGTTTTTGTTTTAACAATATATTCACTTTTGTTGAACGCACAATACTAGTTGTGCTACTTAAAACACACTGAGAGTTATAAGAAGTGAAAGATTTACACACATCCTCCACATTACACACAAAGTACAAGTATTGTTGCAGTTGTTGTTTGTTACCAGCTCAATAAATACAGAATTATGTAGTTAAGTTATTCATTAAATTATTTATTTTTCTAATTTAAAACTGATTTAAGCTGATTTGAGCTTTGAGTTCTTGTTGAGCTGCTGTAGTAGAGATCAGACCAAAGCTCATGGTGAACAATTATATTCTGTTAGGTCGTCTATGGTGTAGCTAACTGACACCTTCCTTTCTTAGTTTTACTGCTCTTGGTATTATAGGTAGAGCATCCAAAAGCCTGTAGACAGGTCTGGACTATATTTGGACAAATAAAGAACAACATCTATCATTTAATAATATATGAGACATTTAAGACACATCAGCACATGAAAAAAAAGCTTTTTTAATGTCCCCCTCAGGAATTACTCCTGACATTTTTACTGTCTAATGCCCCCCCCCAACAATGATGAGGGATTTTCACCACTGACCACCTCTAAACACCAGATGTTGCCAAAGTGTTCGTGTTTCATGAGATGTTTCTTCAGATGAGTCGATTGAGAACTCATTCTCATTTACAACGATCTGGCCAAGAGGCAACTGTCATGGTCTGCCTCTCCCTCATGTGTCTCCTTGTGTGCTCCATTCCCCTCTAAGAATCCCCTTATGTGTCTCTTTGTTCCTCATGTGTCCCCTGGTCTTCAGCCCTCCAGATTATCCCTCCCAGGTCCTGTGTTCCTTTGTTCTCCCCCAGTCACCCCTCTGCAGTTTTTCTAGGTTCAGCTTTTCATTTTATTAGTCTCTTTAGTATGTTTTCCCACAGGTTTTTGTAGTTTTCCTTCCCCTTAGAATATTAGTTATTTTTGCTGGCTTTTCTTGTCTTTAGGTTTTTACTCGTAGGTCATGTTAGTTTCCTCCCTGATTAGTTAATTGCTTTCACTTGGTTTCTCTCCCCACATACCTGCAGCCTATCTGCCTCCCATCATGCCCCAGTGTATATAACCCTGTCTGCGTCTCTGTCTGTTGTTTGGTCATTGTCTGTTATCACCTTTGTCTCGTAAACGCCCCCCACCCCCACCCCGATTTGATCTTCATTTTTGGATTCTAGGTTTTGTATTTTGGGAATCTGACTTTTGTGTTTTGGCTCCTGCCTTTTTGGACTACTTATTAATAAAAGGAGTTTTACTTTATTGCTCGACTAAGCGTCATCTGGTTTTCTGCATCTTTGGGTCCTAACCTCCTCTTGGCTCCCCATCGTGACAGCAACAGCAACACACATAGTTAGCTTTACACCAAAGAAAAACAGATAAGATAAAAACTTACAAGACAAAAATAAGATTAAACAGTTAGACATTAAGACAAAGGACTGTTCTCATATATGTACAAGCGATCAAAATGGACTGAAAACGATCTTTAAGCACTCAGAAGCAGGCACGTTGATCAGAAACTATCAGCACTCATCTCCTTTAATATTCATATCCTGGCCAAGTGGGTGGGGTCAATGAATCCTTCCATTGTAGTGCTTTACTATTGGGTTGTGTTTGGCACTTTATCAGGGCTCTTGGGCCATTTTCATCCCCAACAATATTTTATATGATACAGAGGCATAAAGAGCAGAATTCAGTTTTGAAGGTTATTCTAGTACCTCTTTAATGCAATATATATATATATATATATATATATATATATATATATATATATATATATATATATACTGTATATATATACAATTAAGACACGGTCGTCTCTCATTTCTTTATGGAATCAATGAGAAATATACCAAAGAAACCAGTGTTTGACTCAAAACTACTAGTTGTTTGAAAGTTTAAAATGTTGACATTGTAGTTTAAAGCGATGACTGAGCCGCCATGCAAGTCAAATAGCTTGACCAAAGAAAATTTCACAGTCAAACTCTACAACTTGAGTAGTATGCCTTACAAAAAACTAGTATAGGTGAAACTATGTTGCACTGGAGCTGTGCAGAGTTTAGAAAACAATAGTGAAATGATTGTTTTGTCATTTGAAACTAAGTTTTTGCATAATCCGTTCCCATCCTAATGTGAATGTTTTGCTTGCGATCCAAGTGAGGAATTCACCTTATGCTCCCACCTATTCCTGATGTTTTTTTCCTCACACTTGTTCTTTTTATTTTGCTGGGTTTTGCATTTCATTAACACCTCCAAATTTAATTTGCCTTCAGCTCCACAATCGACCTCCTGTTTCCACAATTTCAACAAGCATCCCTCTCGCTTTTTCCGACCACTCTAGAGCGAAATGTTGTTTAGAAGAGAAATTCAAATTAATCCTGCTACTCTGGTTTTCCATTCAACTGAAGCCATCTTTTCCTTTTCTATTTGTCACTCTCTAGTTCTGTCCAGCAGGGGATTTGATATTCGAGGTGTACCTGGAAAAGCGAGTGCCAGAGCAGTGCTGTTTAATAAAGGTGAGTGTGTGTGCAATGCTGTGTGCATGTCCTGTTAGTGAGGTGAAATAAGAGAGGTTAGGGTGAAGTAGAAGAAAAGAGGGTAGAACAAGAGATGATGGTTGATGGAACAGGGCTGAGACATCTGTGGTTTAACCTGATGGGATTACCGCTACAGAAGTGAATCAAAAGCAAACTAATCAAAGAAATCTGTTTAAATTGTGTAAGTAATTGCATTTTCCAGGGGCTGCAGGCTGCTGAAGGTCACAGACTCATTTTCTATGTTAGCAGCAATGGTTAATAGGGTTCAGGTTAAAGATGAGTGCTGAGCAGCACAGTTTGATATGAAATCTTGATTCCTTCTCGGGGGGGAAACTGTCAGACATGTTTTGTTTAGCCTCGTATTCTCTAAAAAGATCAAGTTAAATTTTTAAAATGTACTCTTTGTCTTTGTAATGGTTTGTTGTTTTTGCCAGGTTCATCCAAGTATGCGGCCTTTAGAGCTCGCTGAAACTGCGTTGAGTATGAAAAACGGCGCTTTCAAGGCTGATGACTTCTGGACCACCTTTGAAGTAATCGAAAATGGAGAGCTAGGTGTGAAAGTTCACATTTTGTTAAACATTGTTATACACAGAAATAACAGGCAGATCTCATTAACCAATCAGAACCCTGCTGGAAACATTATTCAGGTTTTTATGTTGAAATTTAGTCATCGCGTTATCCGTTCCTTCATAATCCGTTGTTGAAATGTGATCGGCAGAAGCTTTTCCGGTTCGTGCCTCACTTTTTTTTACAGCAGCGGCCCAAAACGATCTCCTAACACATAGGGTTGGGCATCGTTTGATTTTGAACGATTCCGATTCCAATTCCTCGTTTCGATTCCGGTTCCTATCGATTCCGATTCTCTCAAGACATGACATGCTTTACATGAACCAGCTAACCACAGGTCCTACTAGATGAAATAATCTTAATCTGTGCGACGGTGGGACAGGAGTTAAGTGCTCGCCTCGCAATCGGAAGGTTGCAGGTTCGAGACCCGCTCAGTCTGTCGCTGTCGTTGTGTCCTTGGGCAAGACACTTAACCCACGTTGCCTGCTGGTGGTGGTCGGAGGGACCGGTGGCGCCAGTGCTCGGCAGCCTCGCCTCTGTCAGTGCGCCCCAGGGCAGCTGTGGCTACATTGTAGCTCATCCCCACCAGTGTGTGAATGTGTGTGTGAATGGGTGAATGACTGGTTGTGTTGTAAAGCGCCTTGGGGGGTTCCAGGACTCTAGAAGGCGCTATATCAAATACAGGCCATTTACCATTTACCAACTTCAACATGAATTTTAACTCTATGAACAACAACATCACCTTCATTTAGACAAAAACATGTTTTGGAGAGATAGAAAAAGACTTGCAGCACAACCAGTGTGTTTGTTTCTGACCACAACCAAAGTCTGGAAGAAGCCTCTGGGATGAGAGGATAAATGTCTCCAACATATCCAGAAACGGCCAGCTGTTTTCAGCTAAAACTCTCAGGATGATCATGTCCAGGATGACTGAGAACTACAATTTCCATCTCTGCGTCCATTGGGAATAAAAAAAAAAAAAAAAGAGTATCCTTGGTCTAATGTTTTTACCTGAAATGCCCTCCCTATACTTGACTTGTTACATTAAAACATGTAATTAAAAGAAATCCCATTTCACTTAGAAGTTAAAGTCTTTGCTTTTGATTTCCTTCTATGATCTGCTGTAAATCTAATTAGTGTCACATCACTGTGGTATTGTGAGTATTCTCTTGCAGGGTGTGTGCAAAGAATACGCTTCCTTTCATCCGTGGACCTTGTCATTAGAAGATTATGCTTTCTCTCTAATGAACCGGTGTCTGTGAACGTGGCGGCATGCTGAGAAATTATCTCAGCATCATTGGTTTGATGAAATGCACATTAATTAATCATCCTTGCCATCATATGTCATTGATTACCTTCATCTTTCCTGCATGATCAACCCAGAGAGCTGACCCCACGTCATCTCGCATTAATAGGCACAGACGGCTCCTCGCGCCTCAACGCGTCTGCATTTGATCACAGAAGAATCGAGCGAGAGGGAAGTCAGGATTTGTCGCAAAGCTACTTCCCTCTCGCCGTCCCTGTCGGTTCACTTAGAGTTTACACCTCGCTCTTATGCTTGTTTTCTTCCTCAAAAGTTTCAAAGGACACACCGTCCTCTTCGAGAAAAAAAGACAATGTGTCCTGAATACTAGGTGATATGTTTGCTGAGAGTTTGGCATATTTTCCACGCCAAAACAGCACATGTGAGGAAGAGTAAACAGCGGAGCTATTTTGAAGGCTACAGCGTGACGGGTTTTGGCTCGTAAAGCCACAAAGAGGGGAGGGAAGGTGCATTAATGAGTTATTTTGGAGAATAGCTGCAGATAAACACTGTTACTGAAGACTATGGGCAGAAAGGGGGGGGGGGGGGCGGCTAATATTTGTAGGGAAAGGAGGAACTAATTCCACGGCAGGCGTCTGCAGAGATTCGAGAGAAAAGATAAGCCCTCTGTTATTAATAAGTTATGCCATTGTGGCTCTTTTTACCTCCTTGGGTTATGAAAAAACATGGGGGTGTAGAAATTGAAGCATCAGAGGTGGTGCTACACAAATTATCTCTTTTTTTGGCTGACAGCATGCACCCAGTTCGCCAATTAGGAAGAGATAATAGGTCTATTTTGCACATGAGTGTGTTTTTATAATCGGGTCCTGATATGCTGTAGATAATTTAAACTGTTCTGTGATGACAGCAGGGGGAACAACAACATCGTTTTGTTATTTGGTTCACGTGTGCTAGTTGTGGATTCTAGGATGACAGCCCGGAGAACAGATTAGCTTTTGTTGTTTTTTTTTAATCACTTACATCTTCTTTTACGTATAACCTTTATTGGTTTTCCCTCCAAATAAAACGGGGTTTGTTATTTTTAACAGAGCGGCCGCTGCACCACTGTGAGAAGATCCTTGAGCAAGTGCTGGAATGGAGTGCCCTGGATTCCCCCGGCTCTGCTTTTCTTCTAATGAAGAAGTTTCCAGAGGCAAAAATAATGACCAACAGCAAAGGTGGAGTCTTCTGTAAAAGACGTTGTTGTGTTCTGGAGAGTCTTTTATCAGTAGTCAATATCTTACCTTCAGTAGAAGTTGCTCAGAGCTGTATTGGTCCTGTTACGGGAGCTGAGGCAAAGAGCTAGGCTAAACAACTTTTGAAACACCTCTCATCTAAGGGACCCCCCCCCCCCCCCCACCCAAAAAAAAAATTGGTAAATCGCCTTCATTATTGAACTCCAAAAGCTCTAGGGTGGTAAAACTGCCTAAGCTTGGGCTTAAGTATTCAATAAGTAAGAATTTTACAGCGAAATAATCATAAAACAGTCTAATGTCTCAGTCATGTTGGAAGAAAGGTGACAGAAACAGATTTCCTTCACAGCTGGCTAGGTGGAGGTCAGTGTTTCAAAAAAGCTAAAGAGGGATGTAGTCTTTGTTTACAATTTGTGAGCCCACAAGGTTGTGTCTGCACTGGCTAACGCTGCAGTGCTGGCATTTGTATTTTGCCTGTGACCAGCAAAATGCAGCTGCATTTAGGAGAGAACCAAAGCCAGTAACAGAAAAAGGCCCAGAAGTTATTTTTTGTACATTTAAAAAAGCCGCAACATCTTTATCTGATGTCTGGTAGAAATAGCTAGTAGCTAATGTAGAGCTAACAATGCTAACGGTGAATTATTATTAAATGCAAGCCTTAAAAAATATCTGAATCTACTTTTTCAATTACCAACAGTTCAATATTACAGTGAAATGTACTCATCAACTTACGGTGTATGGCTCACCTTTGCTATTTCAGGTGCTGGAATAGTTTTGTGGTGCTGCTGCCTTCGACTGTGAAGGGCTTTAGGCAAATTTAGGAACAAATTTCCCACTCTCGCCGGTAGCCATGTTGTCATTTGCTGTTGCTGTTATGTGTGTGCTGTGACGTTGTTGTTGCTTGCCATGCTGCTATGTGAAACAAACACTTCGAAATCTCCAAAGAGCCAAAAATGCGCCATTACATAAAAACTTGATTTACTTATTTTTTAAATGACCTGCAACAAAAAACTCCAAATTATTCATTCGATCGATTTTTCGCCCAGGCCTAGTTGGTTGGTTGGTTGGCGGATTGTTGGGTCGGTTAAGAGGTTGTTTTGTTGACTGATTGATTGATTGATTGATTGATTGATTGGTATTTTTTATATTGTGCAACAGATCTGAAACAGTCCATAAAAGGTGACTATCTGAAGTTCAGTGATGGATCGTCCAAACTTCTGTCGGGCCACAAGTTCCAGGACAAGTACGTAGTTCTTCAAGCAGAGAAGCTGCTGCTCTACAGGGACATCAAAGTAAGTACAGCCCTTTAGTTCACAAAAAAGACTTTTTAACCACTTCCAACCACGTTATTAAAGGGGGAATGAAATGAACGTAAGAGTTGCATCCCAAAGAAATATAAAAAACGTTCTAAAGCAGAGCCAAAAGTGTGAGTGTGTCCTACAACAGTGCAGCCTAATAGACCCAGACCAGTCAGACTTTGTGTCATGTATTTTATCTTTTTCATATTCCTAACAACTCGTCTCAAGGTTCCAATTTTTCAAATTACAGAGAGAAATAAAACACGCTGGTGGCAGCAGGCTTTCCACTCTTTTTTTTCTTTTTTTGCTTAAAAATGAAAGAATACAGCATGTGCTGGAGAGACGACCAGCAGGACCAAGTTCCCTGGAGGGCTTTTCTCCTCAGCACATTTCTGCAGTTTGAACATGGGATTCGTAAAGGAGTGTGAAGAAGCATTAATAATTGATGGAGGGGCCGCCTGTAGAGTTGGGGATGGAGGTAGGAGGCAAAATGAGTAGGAGTGCAATGTGTGAGGGGGGTCTCTTCTCTGAGCGCTCCTCTAAAAATGAGGTTGCAGAAGAATGCGGCTAATTACTGCGTAAATAGGAGGAAATTAGACTTGTTACTGGGATTTAATTGATATTTGTTGGCCTCTGCAATTACTGCCAGGTCTGTATTTAGTGGAAATTACGTTGGATGGAGCAGAGAATGAGGGTGCTGGGTTTGATGTGTAGGTGTCAGAAGCAAGTTCTAACTTTGATTCTGTTTGCTTTGTTCTCCTTGACTTTGTTCTTTGTCAGCTGGAGGATGAGATTCGCCAGCAATGAATTCATCTGATTGTTGTGTTGTGATTCTGTAAAATGGCACAGACGGCAGCAGCTGGCTTTTTACTTTAAGTTTAGTCCATCACGTTTTCCTTCTGTTTGCACTTTTTCGCCTTCCTCTCTTTAAAAACACTATTTGTCATGTCTTTTTTTCACCTCTCAGAACACTAAAGCCGAGAAAGCGATCCAACTAACGACAGTGAAATGTTTCCTGGGCCTGAAGAAGAAGCTCAAACCTCCAACCAAGTAAGCAGGAAAACTTCTCACATTCAGTGGCTTAAATAGCACAAATGTTCTTGTATTTGCATCATGCGTTAACAGCAATTAACACTTGATGCTGCTTTTTGTTGTTTTTTTTTTAATGATGTTTGAACAGGCACTTTTTTAAGTCACATGCTCATTAATCGCATCCCATTAGCATGTAAAAGGAAGTAGTTAATAAGCATAAAAGAAGCATGATGGTTAGGGACTGATAATGGGTCTCTGACTTTAATATCATCCATATCTTTTCTACATAAATACAGCTGTAAACAAGTAATATTCACTTAAGTCGTACTTGGTTATTACACAAATAAAAGCATCACTTTCAGGTTTATGAGCCAAGCATTGCAACTAGGAATGTTCAGTATTATCAGTCCACAATTAATATTGGAAAGTGTCGCTTTTCAGTCCCTTAATGACCCAACTTTTACACACCACGCAAGCTCTTCTGCTACTCCTCTCTCAGAATGTAAAAAGGTAAAGTTTCTGAGATGTTTTTGTTTATTTGGCTCAGCTTGTGAAGTAGAAATCAGCCCTGTGTAGTAGAAGTACACGGTCCTCACAGCCAGGGATGGGTACCTTTGACATTTGAACTGATTCGGTACTAATTCCTGGTACCTAGGAATTGATACCGGTACTTAACAGTACCAACTTTCGATACTTTTGAGTGTTTCATATTTTAATTCTCTTTTGTAATAAAATATATTTTTTCTCAATATATAACCATATTTGATAAATATCACGATAAATAACATACAACTGTTTGTATTTTAACATCGACCTTGTAGTTTTATAAGCTGATAATTAAACTGAAGCAAACATCTTTACTGTGAACTAAATTTACTGTGTGTCTTCATTCCTTTTGCCGTCTTTTTTCATTTGATTTTTCCTACTGGGAAGTCAGAATTTCCAAGGAGAAAGCGAACGCTCCATTAGCTGATAACAATGGTGGCAATGGAAGCTAATTTATCAAGCTAACGTTATCTTAAACATTTTATTTACCTACCAGAGCAGATTAAGATGAGGATGTCTCACTTAGATCGTTGTCGCTGGTTTCATCATCACCCAGTTACCCATCACATTTAGTGAAGTGGACCCAAGCGTTAGCGTGCGTTCTTTCTACCATGCTGCTCTGTTTAAAACTGGCTCGCAGCAACCGACGACATAACGCTCTTGCACATGCGCAGCTGTCTAGGCAAGTTCTCGTTATGAAGGACGGGTACTGAAACGAGGCACCGTTTCAAATGACGTGAATCGGTGCTCAGTCGGTACTATGGAATTTGGTCGGTACCTTAAAAAGTACCGAATTCGGTACCTATCGCTACTCACAGCACATAGCTACGTGCAGCTAACCAGCAAACAAACGACAAAAACAAGACTTCACCCAAGGCTTGTTTTTCTTATCTGAAGATATTTCTAAATGTTTTATCGTCTTAATTGCAATATGCAGAAAAACAAAAACTGCATTAACTGATACACACATGTTAGCGTCACGCTTAGGGAGAATGAGACTAAGTTGCTGTCGGAGACCAAATAAACACGGCTCTTTTCCTGTTACTAACTTACATTGAAGTTGTTTTTATTTGACACACCAAATGTTTAAAATGTAACCATGCATGATAGGAGAAATGTGATGTTAGTAACCTATAATGGTTTGGTGTCTCTTTTTAAAGAAAGGGGGACGTAGCATACATAGGTATCAGTTTATTTCGGTGTCGGAAATTTAGAGTGAAACAATATCTGTCAAGTTGCCAGAATGGAGCACCCCTAATCGTAACAGATTGATGTGTACGTTTTGGTTTTTGGATTCCCTTTGAAGTAGATTTAATGGACATTTAACCATTTCTTGCATCCTGATCAGTGTTGCCAACTCAGCAACTTTGTCGCTGTTCCTAACGACTTTTTGGCCCCTGTCAACAACTTTTTTCCCAAAAAGCGCCTAGCGACAAACCTAGCGACATTTCTCAGGACTGTTTGCCACTTTCTGTAGAACTTTCTTGTAGATATTCCCTACAGATTAGCAACAAAGAAACCATTTGCACTCTGAACCGTTCTTCCGGGAGTAAGGAAAGAGAACGATTATCTGCACATGTGCACGAGGACCGACCAATCATAAACCATTTTCGGCCGGGCCGAAGACATAGCCCTTTTTACAAGACACCATGTCGGCAAATCGGTGTAATGTTACCGCAATGGTATGTCTATAAACGCGCCATGCCGGCATGGCGTTGCACGAAATTTTTCGGCATTCCTTCCGCCTCGCTTGGTAGTAATATTGCGGTAATGGTCTGTCGTATGCACCCTGGTGCAACAGAGGCAGATGTCATGATGACGTAGGGAGTTATTGCTGAGCTCCAGCTGGTAAATGTATTGAAAAAGAAAGTAAACACAGGCAATAAGGTTCACTTTTGAACAAAATCAGCTGAGATGGCAAACTGGAGCGCCGCAGTGCTCCATGAGCCTCTCTGTTAGAGCTGAAGCTCAGATCACCAGAGACTGCACAGGGACTGATGGGGACAGACACCTTTAGGGGCTGCTTGTTAAAAAAAAGTAACGATCACGGCTTCAATCACAATAAAAGCAAGTTATGTCCACGATAAACGGAAGTCTGCGGCAGCGCAGAGACCGCCCCCATACCCCCTTTATGCCGCCATCACCTAAACTTTTATAAAATTGCCACGATTGCGCCACATTACCGCCACGGTCTGATCTTATAAACGACCTTTATCCTCCCCAGGGAGCTGCGGCAAATCCCGTTTGCAAACGCTCTGGTCCTGTAAAAACAGCTTGGTACAGCTGCAGAGCTGGAGACCGTTGATTTATGTCTACTGCTGCTGCTGCATGCTCACGCTTCTACTAGAGACGGTACAGGTGTCAATCTGCCATCTCTGGTTCTGCAGCCGTCACTTTGGCTTTTCCTGCATTTGGAAAATAAAGTCAACGGGAGTCTCAACTACGTCACGTTTGCACACGCAGCTCTGTGGCTCATCTGAATTTCCTTCAGTGACACAGGGATGGTTGTACCATGAGACACCCGCTCCTGTTTGCTAGGTGCGCCGTTATTATCACGATGGAGAGAATACACAACAGAGAAGTTGAGAAATTCTGAGGTGCAAAAAACCCCCCAGCTTTTTAGGAAAATGTCTGTGAGAATGACAAGAGCAGGAGGTCTCTGAGTTATATCCTCCAACAGAACTGTTTGGATCACCACACCATATCTGTCTTAATGTCATTTTATTGGTACTTTAGGAATTCATTTTACATATGAAAGCAATTTGGGCCGTTTTAATCATACTAATTAATAACTTAAACACATAAAATAGTTTTTGTTATTTTCCTCCCTCTTAGTCCTAAAAAGACCAACATATTTTAAAAATCTTCAGTGTGTATATATACATAAATGTATACATAAATATATACATATATATATATATATATATATATATATATGTATATGTGTATATATATGTATATGTGTATATATATGTATATGTGTATATATGTATATATACACATATATATCTTTTAGATGCTATGAGGAAAATGAACACCAATGTGGCGTGATGATGTCATCAATATGCAAATTAGCATCTGGCGACATCTGGGTGACTTTCTGGGTCAACTTCAACTACTTTCTATCAGGGGGAGTTGGCAACACTGATCCTGATCCAAGTAGCACTCGCTGCAGAATCACAAAGGCAGAGCTGCACCACAGTCAGCCCCGCCCATTCACGCAAACTCACCCCAGCCCACTGACTTCTTCTGTTGTTGTTTAACTTTATCGCAAACTAACCTGATCATAAGAATTACGACTGTTACTAGTTTACAATTGTTAATGCTATGTTCTATGTTCCAATTAAGCAAGATAAATATAATTTGTTACATGACAAAGCCTGAATATATCCCGAAATGAACAGGTTTCTGTCTCTGCCCACAGCCACTCCAACAAAAGGCGCCTACAACCACATTTTTGTCTTGATTCTAGGATGAGCTCTGGTAGTCCAGTGGCATAACAGTCTGACTTGAGTTTTGTTATGCCCTCTGCTGACGCCAGCTCGACTCTCGGTGGGCTCGGCAGTAATCTATTTAGCCAGTTGGAACAGATTTAATTTGTTTATATTTTAGTTTTATTGTCTCTAAAAGTTCTTTGAATTTGGTCGTTCCTTAACAGTATTTTAGTTGAAACTCTACTCACACATGGACTCACACTGGCTAAATAAACAAAGAAAATAAAAAACAAACAGATTAATCATTACATTTTAAACGGTTTATCAATAAGTGGTTGAAAACATAATACTAGCAAGCGTAGCTAGAAACGAAGAAAAAAGTTAACGCCACGACCGGCAGGCGAACCTGCGCAAAACTACATGCTAGTCTGACACCATAACCACTCCACTGCTACATCTGCTAGGAAGCAGTTGGCGCCACATGTACTTGTGCCATCCAGTGTGTCTTTGTAGATGGGATGTTTGGTTTTTCCGGCAGTGTCTCAGTAGAAGTAACTCAGAAGTAATTTGTCAGAAAATCCACAGAATATCCTGATTTGAGAACCGAATACCAGACCTGCTTCAGGGGGAGGAGACCAAATTGAAGCAGAGACGGGAGGAAAATGCATGAATGCAGCCAAAAACGGCTTTTGGGTGTTTCTTATGAGGGAATGACAATATAACATGGTGAAACGTTCCAAAAGTTAGATTTTTCTGATATGGAACATTTACTAAAACTGTTCACTTAACCTCTCAGCTCTGTCCTCAGTAGTGCTTTTTAGTTAATATTAGCTAGAAGTCTGACAACTGGAAGGATTTGGACTGACTTTGATGGAATGGGCAGTTCTGACTCTGGTGCAGCACCACCTTTGTGGTTCTGCAGCGAGCACCCTCTCTCCTGATCCCATAACTGAAAAGGCGTTCACCTACTATGCTGATAACACCAATTCTTCTTTTTCCTGGTCTGATGAGTCTGGACTTCAGCTTCCACATCTAGAT